TGTAACGCATAGAATTCACTGGCTTGTATGCGAAGCAGTAATTGTTTCAAAACATCTCCTGCCATGTCACTGATGCGTCGTGAAACAGTGTTGTTTGATGAAAGCATTGTCTGTATAGTTTTTGGGCCTTTTCCCCCAGCATTGTCCCAGCCATATCCGCGGCAGCAGGAAGAATTAAGTCCTCCACAATAGTATGGGGCTTGCCTGTCCTAGCCACTCGGTAGCTCACAATATAAGACGCTTCTAGCCCCTTCTTATTAATGGTATCTTTTGCTTTTATACATGTCTTACTACTCGAAAGACGTGTTAATTCTCACTCAAAAAACTCCTGTGGCTTATTTTTCAAATTGGCATGTTTATCGTTTCTAAATGTTTGCGCAAGAGTGAAGGTTTCATCAAGTTGTGAGATAGTACTTTTGCACATTTAACACACTGTGGCTGAGGAAAGACACTACTCCCAATATAAGTGAACGCCAAATCAATATAATTCTCATCATATTTGCGCCTCTTCGATGGTCCAACGTCCCTGTCTGTTGTTCGGTGCTTTCCCGGGTAACGGGGCAGTAGCTCTTTGGCTGCATCAGATTCACAACTGTCAGTGTCCATGCTAGCTGGGCTAGCAACAAATGTAGAATTACTGATGCTAGCATTGGATGTGCTCGTGGAAGCAGAACAACTTGTGTCGTCGACAGGTGCAGGTGTAGTACTGCTGGTAGTAGCAGTACTACCAGTAGAGCTGGTATGTGTCTCTATGGACGCGGCCTTACTTTTTTTTTACCATTTATCAATTTTCAAGCAAACGGAATGAGCAGCAGCTACGTTTGGCTACAAACAGACCGTTAGTGGAATTCCCGCGAGAGAGTAACGGTTAATGTGATTGGATGTTAATTATTTGACCAGGTTACCTGTATTTTACATTGTGTTGTTATTTCGCTGAACACTAGATGGTTTTATTTTATTTTTGGCAGTGAAACGAGGCTACTCGGGCGAGAAAAATTGCTGTTTGAAAACTGTTTGAAAATGTGAATCACATTTTTATTTGGCGTACCCCCGACGGCATTGCGCGTACCCCAGTTTGGGAATAGCCGGCCTAGAAGCCTACACAGTAATAAAACGCAACTTCAAAATATTATATTTCTATAATATAATTTGCGAACAACCTGTCCTATAGGCTAGTTCTGTGAAAATGTGTATTAATAAATAACAAAACAGCTTTTTTCTAATACAATCTAGGCCTCTAATTTAATTTAGCCTAGGCATGAACATTTTAATTAGACCTAATAAATAATAAACCATGGCTGTCTACGAACACCAGGGCTAGATGGGATCTGGCTTTTGTCAAATTAACGTCAGATTTGACTTTTCGTAGCAGGTTAGGAGAATTAACGTAGCAGGTTAGGAGAATTCGGTTAGGGTTAGCTAAAATGCAAAAAATATATACTTTTGACGTTAATTTGACAAAAGCTGGATCCCGTCTAGCCATCACCGGGCTCAAAGTGAGACGCTGTTGTTGGGAAGTCAAAACTGTCCAACTCATGGGGGCAGCTTGCGTGCGCATCAGCCTCGTTACTTTGTCCTCAAGAATGCGCTTCTTGAGGCCGTCTTTACCCTGTTTTGGAGAAAGAATCTCCTCTCGGCGGGCACACTGGAAACAGGGATAATCAACACAATCTTCGCCAATTTTGCCCAGTCGGGGGGTACACTTAGCTGAAGTCCCTTATGAGGACCTTGCGTCTTTTGCGTGAGTAACAATAGAAACACACACACACCGACACTAATTTCCAAGCAGCTTGAAGATTTATTAGCCCATTAAGTATATTTGCCTTTGAAGTTGGAGCACAGCTACTGGTATTTCCATCAATGAATAAAAATGATTCTTTTGCAATGGATTTTTTTTGTTTGGGGGGTACAATTTGGCCGGCAACAATTGTATTTATCGGCATGTAAAAAAAAAATATCTGACAAAAGTCGCCATTTACCGGCTAACGGAAACCATGGTGTCCTGGTAGTCCTCTGGCCCTGCGGCCTTGTGAATGTTAACTTGTTTAAAGGTCTTACTCACATTGGCTATGGAGAGCCTGATCACACAGTCGTCCGGAACAGCTGGTGCTCTCATGCATGGTTCAGTGTTGCTTGCCTCGAATGCATTTAGCTCGTTTGGTAGGCTCGCGTCACTGGGCAGCTCGCGGTTGGGTTTCCCTTTGTAATCTGCCTTTAGCTCAGTGAGGATGTTGCCCGTAATCCATGGCATCTGGTTGGGATATGTGTACGGTCACTGTGGGGACGACACCGTTGATGCACTGGTCAGATTTGCCAAATGGAGGGCGAGGGAGAGCTTTGTGTGTGTTTCTGTGTGTGGAGTAAAAGTGATCTAGAGGCTTTAGGAAATGCAACCAACTACAGAGATTGATGGGGAGGGAAGCGGGAGAGGAGGGGACCCATGTACCCCGCTTCAATCAAGCAGGCTTAAGTCACCCACTTTGCCTTAGTCACCCCCAAGATTGAAGCAGGAGACAAATCAAGCTATGGCCTCCTCCTTGTAAGGCCTCTCACACTGGGCAGACAGGGGTACTGGGATGGACAGTTAGCACAGCTTCCCCACATGGCGTTGGATCAAGGGTGACCTCGTTGAAGAGGAGATCCAGGAGCCTGTCTACGTAGCCTGTAATGTCTTTGAAAAGGAAATGGGTAGTGAATTACATTTCCTTTTATTGACTTCTGAGTTATGATGCTGTCAATTCGTTGACGTAGTGATATACTCATTCTACAATGTGTTTTCTGGTATTTTTGAAGTACTCAATTTGAAATATGCAATATTTAGTTGTTCACTTTTTGTAAAACTTTTCAATGTTTGTATTTTGAATTTTTGTGTGCCTGAAATGCTCAATTGATGCAGATTTGAATTGAATAACTATGTAAGCATCTGTAAAGACATCATGGTTGAGGACATGGTTTTGAACTGGAATGGCAATTGAGCAGCATAATATATCCTAGTATGTGCCTTTAACTTGCCTTCTTTGTCTGAATAAAAGATTACCCAGTGAGCTATATGGCAGCAGAGAGGTGGAGATTTCCAGCTGGGATGCTACCAATGTGGGGCCTGGCTCTTCCACTGTCTGAAAAATGAGCAGTCGCTGTAGGAACATTTCTGCTCCACAGACAAGTGGAGTGGCGCAGTGGTCTAAGGCACTGCATCGCAGTGCTAGCTGTGCCACTAGAGATCCTGGTTCAAATCCAGGCTCTGTCGTAGCCGGCCGCGACCGGGAGACCCATGGGGCGGCGCACAATTGGCCCAGCGTCGTCCAGGGTAGGGGAGGGAATGGCCGGCAGGGATGTAGCTCAGTTGGTAGAGCATGGCGTTTGCAACGCCAGGGTTGTGGGTTCGCTTCCCACGGGGGGCAGTATGAAAAATAAAAAAATAAAATAATGTATGCACTCACTAACTGTAAGTCGCTCTTGATAAGAGCGTCTGCTAAATGACTAAAATTTTAAATGTAAGAATGTCCCCCTCACAAATCTTGTGACACTGCACATCCTTGTGCAGATGGGGCAGTCCTGGAAAAGTTTCAACAGGCAATCCTCATACACAATGGATTTTGGAATGTCCTGCATGGATTTTGGGGGTGATCTGTGGGGAATGAAAACACACACACACACAGCAATGATATTAGACGAGGAATTGAGGACACATGGATGGGAGTAAGTAAGTATTTGATATCTAGTGAAGTGAGGTATAGAGACATTCAGAGCAGTGTCACAACCAGTCCCAATTCACTCCCTAACCCTTCCCCTTAGCCCTAACCCTGTACTGTTTGCTGATCTGTAAGGTGTAAACAATTTGATGGAAGCTCCACTAGTACTTGTACATAACCACACTATTCAAATCTGGAAACATTGAAGTGTAAGGGACAAGGGGGAGGGATTGGGAGGACAGCAGTAAATCCTTGGTAATGCCTGCCTCCTGAAGCCAAGCTATACCAGCTACAGTCATTTTTCATACTTGGGTCACCCAACGTTGAACTGGTTTCATCCAAATATTATCCAATTTGATGAAAAGCATGATTTTCACTGTTTGGGACCTTTAAACTTTCTGAGAACAGAAGTGAAAATGTTGCCTGTTCTGGGAACGTAAATATTTAGGTTGCAGGGAGGTTCTGAGAACATTTTACTCTGGTTCCCTGAAAGTTATTGAATTACCTTCAAATAGCCTATAATTTATCTTCTCGGAGTGTTAATAAAACCTCCCAGGAGAACTTTCTGGGAACAAGAGTAAAATGTTCTCAGAACCTTGCTGCAACCAAAACATTAAGAGGTGTTATAATGTTGTCTCATAAGCTATATCACTTTTCAATGTAGATCCTGTAGTGATTTGTCAGTGTTCTCTTATAATCTAGTTAACCTGCCATAGTATTCCATGGTAACGAAATTACGGTGAATCACATTAAAATGTATACGAAACAAAAAACATTGATTTCAAACTTTAACAAACCATAGAACTAACTCTATGCACAAGGACTACTTTGAACATTTTCCACTGAACATTTTCCAAAAACACATTTACAGGAAGAACTGTGGTGCAGATACAAAGTTTGTTAACAGAATACAATTGTGAGATTTTACAGTAATTCTGTTACTAAACTTTGCATCTGCACAGTTTTTCCAGTAAATGTTTTTATATTTTTGATGTACAGTGTAAATTGTTCAAAGTAGTCATTGTGCATAGAGTTGTATGGTTTGCTAAACTTTGAAATCAATGGTTTTTCTTTGGTATACATTTTAAAGTGAAAAATCGGAGTCTTAACGTAATTCCGTTATTGTGGAGTTGCCCTTAATGTTAACTCCAGTGTCCATAGAGATGATAAGAGTTAGGCTAAGTATCCTTACCTATCTAAGCCTGCTATTGCCTGACAAAGTAAGTGTGCTGTGGTTTTGATGTCATTTTCAGGAGACACTATCATTAAAAGACCCTTCTTTAACACTGTGCTTTTCCAGGTGACAGTATGGCTGAGGACCCTCAGAGGAACTTCCGTTCTGCCTATTATGAGAAGGTGGGCTTCAGAGGGGTGGAGGAGAAGAAATCACTGGAGATATTACTGAAGGAGAACCCACTGGGTACGTACATTACAGTACTTCTACTGTTACAACAGCTACATCATTATTATTATCACTGCTGCTCTGCTTCTATCTGCAAGTCTGTTCATATGCGTTTTTGTGTTCCTTTGTCAGACGTGGAGAAGCTGAGCACTTTCAGTCAGAGATTCCCTCTACCCTCAATGTACAGGATCCATGTATGGAAAGTGCTGTTGGGTAAGTCTTTAACACAGACGACACACAGGCTTCAGACCATATTTCACATACTAGCACACCTCTCAGCCCATAGAAAACCCTATTTCTCACCAGACACACATACACTAGACAGATCAATCGGACAGACCAACCCACTGCCTTGATTGCGTGACATACTGATGTGACCCACCCTGTGTCTATCTCTAGGTATCCTTCCTCCCCACAGTGACTCCCACTCCCTGGTGGGAGGGTACAGGCGGGAACAGTACCAGGATGTGTTGGAGGCCCTGGAGGTAATGAGGTTTGTCCACATGGCCACGCCCCAGACGCAGGTGTACCTACGCATGTTCCAGCTGGAGAGCCAAGTGCTGCCCAGACGCTCTGATACCACACCCCCGGTAAGAGGAGAGCGAAGAAGAGACCTGGGGGGCATTGTCTTTTTTTTTTTTTTTTTAAAGGTCCAATACAGATGTTTTTATCTCTATCAAATCATTTATGGGTAACAATTAAGTACCTTACTGTGATTGTTTTCAATTAAAATTGTAAAACAATTTACAAAAATAGCTTCTTAGCAAAGGGCAATTTCTCAAGCAAAAATGTTTCTAGGCCTGTCTGAGTTGGGAGGGGAAAACTGAAGATTAGCTGTTATTGGCAGAGGTTTGGAACTCTCTTATTGGTCTATTAACTAATTTACCACATGTTGATGTCATTATGGAAGGCCATAACCTAAACAGGCTGAAATTCCAGGCAGTATTTTCAATCAGCTCTTACACTTAAAGGGCATTATCATAATTTTCACAATTTCAAAGTATTATTCCAACTTGTAGTGTGGAAGTATACAGTGCCTTCGTGTGTTTTTGTTCTACCTTGTTATTTTTAGTACTACATTGATATTGATTACTGCATTGTTGGGTTTAGAGCTTGCAAGAAAGGCATTTCATTGTACTTGTGCACGTGACATTAAGACTTGAAACTTGCCTGGTCCTACTCAGGAATTTGATTGAACTTATTCTTTGTTCTCGGTAGAATCCGTAGGTTAGGCTACTTATGTGTGAGACTGACAGGTGTGTCTCTGTTTCAGGACGAGGAGGATGAGGACTTCCTGTCCATAGCTAGAGCCATGGAGGAGATCGTAGAAGACTCTGTGGATTGTTATTGGCTGATCAAATGCTTTGTCAACCAGTTCAACAATAAGTTTGGAGACTCCATTCCCCACCTGGTGAGTAGTGGATTGGAGGGTGGGTAAGGGAATGAAAGGGGTGGTCTAGTGCTCATTGTTGTTGTCGATACTGCTACTGTTGTTATTGTTGTTGTGTTGATAGTCAAGTAACCAGCATAAAAATATACATGTAGCAGATGTGTACACTGCATCTATCTCTCAACACATCTAACCCCTTCCCCCCCTATCTGTGTCCGGTTGGTTTAGCCCAAGAGTCTGGAGCACTACCTGAGTGTGGAGGAGCCCCGGCTACTGAACCATCTGAAGAATACTGGGGCCCTCGCCATGCTGCCATACAGCCTGTGGTTCAGACGCTGCTTTGCTGGCTGCCTGCCAGAGTCTAGCCTGCAGAGGTTAGGCACACTGAGGCTTATTTCTCTCAACAACCCAGCCACACAGGCGTGAGAGGTGTAATCTTTGCATAAACAAACGACATTTGTTACATGAAGCACTTTGCTGTTCTGTGCAGCGGTGTGGGTCTGGGACTTGGTTAGAGAAGTAATGTGCCATGTTAGCTATGAAGCTTTCAGGAAACTCATCACTGTTCTATTATGCTGGTATTCTGACTCATGTCATGTGTTCTGCGCTTTCAGGGTGTGGGATAAGGTGATCAGCGGGTCCTGTAAGATCCTGGTCTTCGTTGCCGTGGAGATCCTTCTCAGCTACAAGATCGTGGTAATGGGAACCAGCAGACCAGAGGGAGTGGTCAACATCCTGTGCAATGTGAGTGATGTCATCATCATAGGATGATCTGTTATTGGTCATAAATCATGTTGATTAGCTGCAGGTTTGAGACTTTTCTCCTTTGTCTACCAATCACATTGATTTGTTTTCTCCTCTACTACCAGATGCCCCAGGAGAACACTGATGCAATAGTGACTAAAGCCATTGACCTGTGGCACAAATACTGTGGCACCCCCATGCACTCTGTATAGGATCCCAGATCTCCAGCCAGACCCTCTTGATGGGGTCATTGACATTGGGATACGCTTGGACTCAAATCAATCACATTTTATTTGTCAGATACTTCTTAAACAACAGGTGTAGACTAGCAGTGCAATGCTTACTTACGGGCCCTTCCCAACAATGCAGAGAGAAAGAGAATAGAGAAATAATATAAAAGTAATAATAAATACACAATGAGTAACGATAACTTGGCTAAATACACAGGGTACCAGTACCAAGTAGATGTGCAGGGGCACAAGGTAATTGAGGTAGATATGTTCATATAAATAGGAATAAAGTGACTCGGCAACAGGATAGAATATAAACAGTAGCAACACCGTATGTGATGAGTGCCTGGTATAGAGGTCCTGGATGGCAGGGAGCTCAGCCCCAGTGATGTACTGGGCTGTACTCACTACCCTCTGTAGCGCCTTGTGGTCGGATGCCAAGCATTTCCTACACCAAGCGGTGATGCAGCCAGTCAAGATGCTCTCAATGGTGCAGCTGTAGAACTTTTTGAGGATCTGAGGGCCCATGCCAAATCCTTTCAGCCTCCATGCTATGGAGGCTTTTCAGCCTCTGACTTGAAGTGCCCCTGAGGAACCCCCGTGTTGAGGGTCAGCGTGACGGATGTGTTGTTATCTACCCTCACCACCTGGGAGCCGCCCATCAGGAAGTCCAGGATCCATTTGTAGAGGGAGGTGTTCAGTCCCAGGGTCCTTAGCTTATTGTTGAGCTTGGAGGGTACTATGATGTTGAACGCTGAGCTGTAGTCAATGAACAACATTCTCACATAGCTGTTATTTTTGTCCAGGTGGGAAAGGGCAGTACCCCGTAGCAGAAAATGGCAGATTTGGGTACTGTTAAACGCCTAAATTGGATACGCAGTGGCTGTACAGTAACATGCTATACATGATGTCAGAGCTCTGGCTCTGCGCTTCACAGCGCTGTATGGGTTTTGACTGACAGCTGTTCTGAACAGTTACAAGATGACATGTCGTCATACCCTGGGTTATTCTGAACAGAATGATCCTATTTTTGTCTATTGTGAAGAAGATTCGCCACGGCACACGCACCTGAATGCACTCATGACTTCTTTCTATGCGCACCAACATTATGATCTGTTTCCCTGAATTGCATTGTGAAAGCCTAACACTGTAATATCGTATTTTATGACTTTGCTGGTCATGTTGGCAATGGAACAGGCTTTGAAATTATGCCCACCTGACTCAGATTGCGATTTATAATGGACTATTTTGGATTGGGTAATTAACAATAATTGTGATTGCAGGGTTGTGTTCCAAACAAAGTAACTACAAGTGTGCTTGCTCTAGTTCCTCAACGGCACAGCTAGGAGAGCTCACCTTATAGTTCAAGACTCTTCTATAAATCATAAAAGTGCATTGAAATCACTTAGAAACTGTGCACACTTTGGAGAGGTGTATGGCCACTTGGAGACACCAGTTAGTCCTCTCACTCAAACCCTTGTCATTTCTTTGTCTTATGTTGCACCTACCCAAAGTTTTCCAGGAATATTCTTATCATGTTACTGAATGTATTGAGAGTATTTTCAGGTTTCGTTTTCAACAAATGCGACGAAAAGTACAGTATATGTAAAATGCACATAAAATCAACAGTGTAATATTTGGATTCAGTATTGTGTCAGGTAAACTGTTGTGTCCTCACCTTTGGTCTAAAACTTTTCCCATAATCTCCTAACTGTTCCTGTTCAATTGCTACCATTTTCATATTTCTTCTGTAAGAAACATTTCAATTTAGCCTTATCCATATAGGCCAATTCCCACGAGTGTAAAGGGTTAACTGGAGAACATCCAAACCTCTGCCACTAACAGAGGAACATACATTGAGTTTGGACTCAATGGATAGAATGAATGACTGTACAATACAAAGGACTGGTCCAGGGCCTGTCATGGTTGAGGTTACTATGGTTGTTTATATGGGGAAACTGGTCCCAAACCTGTGCTTAGGGAGGTTTACTAAGCAGACTGGTTTTGGATCTCAGCAGCAATCCACTATATTTATAGCCTGGTCTCAGATCTGTTTGTGTTGTCTTGTCAACTCCTCCAACCATACTTGCCAACTCCTCCAACCTACTCAGTTCAGTCTACTTCAAATGAAGCCCATTTCCTTGAACATGTATCCTAAAGGAAGGAAGTTGGAGGTGGCTTTGCTTGGCATGTGAACGTCTAGCAGAAGATCACAGCTGAATCATGTATTTATATGTCAATAAACATACATTTAATGACAGAGAAAGTTGAATGTTGAGTGAATTAAAACCAGACAGATATAATACTCTTTCATTTCTATTATGAAAGTGAGTTCAGTTCTCGCTGTTAGTGATGTTACATACAGTGGGGTCTGAAATTATTGACGCACTTGATAAATATGAGCAAAAATAACTGTATAAAATAAATAATTGAAATACTGAGCTATATTGTATGTTACATTTTTTTTTGAAATTATATTATTTTATACTCATACAATTGCCCAGAGGTAAAGATTTTGTTTAACAAGTAATACTTTTTTTCTCAAAGGTAGACAATTATTGACACCCCTGTTTTCATTACCTTTCAATACCTCACATTGCGAGGATAACGGCACTGAGCTTTTTTCTAAAATGTTTTATGAGTTGGGGAACACATTGGGAGGGATCTTAGACCATTCCTCCATACAGAATCCTTCCAGATCCTTGATATTCTTTGTCTGCACTTATGGACTGCCCTCTTCAATTCAAACCACAGGTTTTAAATGAGTTTGAAGTCCGGAGACTGAGATGGCCATTGCAAAATGTAGATTGTGTGGACAATTCACAATTTCATTGTGGATTTCGATGTGTGCTTGGGGTTATTGTCTTGCTGGAAGATCCACTTGTTGCCAAAGCCCTATTTATACCTGCCGTTAACATGTGTCCTTCATCCTGATTTTGACCTGATCATCCTGATCCTCTCTGCTACCGCACGGCAAGCGGTACCGGAGCGCCAAGTCTAGGTCCAACAGCTAATCATGGCTACCCAGACTATTTACATTGTCCCCCCCCCCCCCTCCCCCTCCCCTCTTTTTACGCTGCTGCTACTCTGTTTATTATCTATGCATAGTCACTTTACCTCTACCTACATGTACATATTACCTCAATTACCTCAACTAACCTGTGCCCCCGCACATTGACTCTGTACCGGTACCCCCTGTATATAGCCTTGCTACTGTTATTTTACTGCTGCTCTTTAATTATTTGTTATTTTTCTGTTTTTCCTATTTCTTTATTTTTTCTTATCTATTTTTTACTTACCACTTATTTTTCTTACATTTTAGTCATTTAGCAGACGCTCTTATCCAGAGCGACTTACAGTTAGTGAGTGCATACATTTTTCATACTGCATTCTTAAACGTGCATTGTTGGTTAAGGGCTTGTAAGTAAGCATTTCACTGTAAGGTCTACACCTGTTGTATTCAGCGCATTTGCCAAATAAAATTTGATTTGATTTTACCTGTTTAAACTTTTAAGATCTGATCATAATCAGAACAGAATTAGTATTTTAATCGTCTACGCTCGTCTAAAAATGTGGACACAATCAGAATGTGGACAAGATCAGGACAAAGGCTGCATGTTAGAACCAGGTATAAGCAGGGCTCAAGTTTCAGCCTCCTGGCAGAGGCAACCAGGTTTTTGGCTAAAATGTCCTGGTACTGGGTAAAGTCCATGATGCCATTGACCTTAACAAGGGCCCCAGGACCAGTGGAAGCAAAATAACTCCATAATGTCAAAGATCCACCACCACATTTTACAGTAAGTATGGGGTTCTTTTCTGCTCATGCATTCTCACTTCGGCGCCAAACCCACCACTGCTGTACGTAGCTAGAGCTCTATGTTCATGTCATCTGACCAAAGCACCGGTTCCAATCCTAGTGCCAATGCCGAAGATCTCTAACAATGTCATAACACGGTCATAACAGCGGACATAACTTGTCATAACACTGTCAAGACACATATAGATAGACCTGTTGTGACATATGCCGTGTTCAAGTGCTAGTCGGAATGAGGAAACTCAGAAATGTCCGATTTGCTATCTGTTTGTAGTTATACACGTGCTGCGTTCAGCGAATCAGCAAGTCGAACATTTCAGAGTTTCTTAGTTCCGACTAGCATGTGAACGCTGCAATATATTGCGTTATTTTATGGCTGGTTATGACACGTACATAAGTGTCAAAACCCACAAAAACTACCACACAAGACAAACCAATCCATTACACCATAGCATGCTGTAAACCATATGTTTATGTTTTAAATAAATTTTTCTGAAATTTCACATACTAAAATATAATTGTAATTGCACACACATTGATGTCAGACATGCACCTACCCCAATGCTCTGTTGCTGATGACTGGGATGAACGCAGGAGGAGTTTCAGGAGTAAGACAAGACATCCTCTTTGTGACTTAGGCCTCCTGTAGCTCAGTTGGTAGAGCATGGCGCTTGCAACATTTTAGTCATTTAGCAGACGCTCTTATCCAGAGCGACTTACAGTTAGTGAGTGCATACATTTTCATACTGGCCCCCCGTGGGAAACGAACCTACAACCCTGGCGTTGCAAGCGCCATGCTCTACCAACTGAGCTACAGGGGACTACCCCTTGTGGGGGGTCTGGCGGTCCTCCCTCATTTCCTGCATTTCTGGACAATCTAATATGACCCTTTAGGGGTCATTTTGGGGTCACTTTTATTGTGAATAAGAATAGAATACGTTTCTAAACACTTCCACATGAATGTGGATGCTACCATGAACATGGACAATCCCGAACGAATCATGAACAATGATGAGTGAGAAAGTCACAGACGCACAAATATCATACCCCCCCAAAATGCCAACTTCCCCTGTTATTGTAATGGTGAGAGTTTAGCATGTCTTGGGGGTATGATATTTTTCTGGGCTGATTCCTCACCGTTCTCATGATCATTGCAACTCCACGAGGT